GCAGCCACGGTGTTTCTAATGTCACTGCTAAGGATGCTTTTTCCTTTTATTGTCACAACCAGTCTTTTGCTCTAGAAACATTTCTATGAAACATAGAATTTTGCAATGTAAGTGGAAAAGGAGCTCGGATTATTTAATATTAACCATTTTTTGTTTTTTTCTTTCTAATTTAGAGAGCATTTTGGTGCTAAAATCTTAGTAGAAGGTACTTGCAATCTTATTTCCATTTTGTCTCAGAATATAAATAGATTTAAACGATCAGCTTAGAAATAGGACAGTTCTAATAAGAATACTACTTTGGTAAATGTAGAAAGAGGTATAAAGTCTTAATTTGAAAATACGTATTTTAATATTTCTACAGCTTTTCAAATGAAACCAAGGCCATTTTGATATAAACATAAAAGCACATCATCAAAACTTTGCTGGTAACTAGATAATGCTAACATAATCTAGAGTTACACTGCTCTCATTTTTTTTTTATTTAGATACATCAGTATTGTTTGCTGTATATCCAGTTTATTTAAGGATGCTTATGGAGTTTTTTTGAGCACTTTTTCTTTCTTGTCATTTGACTGTTAAAAAAGATGAAACATAAAATGTACAAAGCATCATTCGTACAAATTGTGAGGCTAATGTAATAAAGAAAAGTGCTAGATAGTCCTGTTGCTAGCATAAGATATATTTATATCTTTATCCCAGTACTGTGCATTAATTTTCTCTTTAAATCCTTTCAGACTTAATCAATCCTCCTCTCCCCCTTTTATTAGATAAAAGTCACAAGCAAATGTGCTACCTGTCAAACTGATACTATTTAAAACAAATAATGAGAGAAACTGGACATCTAGGGTGAGATTTTCCAAGGTATTTAGATACCTAAAGATGCAGATATGTACTTAGTAGGATTTTCAAAGTGCCTAAGCATGTAAGCGCCTTACATGCTTAGGAATTTTTGAAAATCCCATAAGGTGCCTATCTGCATCTTTAGCATCTAAAGACTTTCAAAAATCTTGCCACTAGTCTACATCATATTTACCAGTCTCTTACTTTTTCCTAATAATCGCATTTCATTTTGTAATCAGTCTTGGTAATGCTGTTCAAACAGAATAAAGTGGGAGAAAAAGAGAAGATTATTTTGGAAGTTAAATTTTCTAAAATATTGTGCTAAGTGTTTCTAAAATCTATGATCGTCTGTAATGATGACAAAAAGCAGAGTTTTAAATTGTCATCTATGAAGTGTCTGAATTTAGAAATTTACCTATAGTTATTTATCTAAGCCTTTGAAGAAAAATTACAGAAATTTCATTTCTATTAAATATGTGCCTGTTATTGAAGTCAGAAGCTTGCTGCATTTTAGCTGTTTGTGCTTGGGAAAATTACGCAACCTTTTTAGATCATCTGGATTTAGATCATACAGATTTAGTTTATGTGGCTAATATATCCAAGTTGCAAACCTTTGGCTCTAGTATTAAGTATTATTAAGAAGCAGAACTTCGAAAACTACTGGATCACATAATCTAAGTTTCTTCCTTTAGGGGATCAAGAGGGCGCAGACCCATAGTGTTACTATTGCAGCAGTTTGCTCCATTTAAAAACTTCATAAAATCGAATAAAAATCAGTAAAACTGTACTTCTTGTAAGAATGAAGGACTGCTTGCTCTGGCATTCAAATGCAGTTAAATTCGAGACATACGTCTTGAAATTACGACTCTTGTTTTTCTACAGTGATTTCTTAGGCAGTTGGTTGTCATTACGTGTTATAATTTAGAGTGGGATCTGTCTGGTAGTAAGGGGATTTTAGAATTTGAAGAGACATTGAAAGTAAAGTCAGTAAGTATGGCCATAGTTACCTAGCTGAGATTATGAACAGTGTGGTTATTATTAAAGGGAAGTCATTCAAAGCTTTGTAAGATTTTGAAATAGGTGTTTTAAAAAATCGTTTTTAAATTGCTAAAAGCAGCAAAGCTTCTGTTTTGGCTGCACGAGTCTATGTGAGGGTATATATAAAAATAAACACTGACCAAGTAAAATGAATACAATATGTAGTTTTATAAAGTTCCAACTCGAAATAGTAGGTTCAGAAAGTTTAAAACATCCATTGAAAATAAACCAGTCTGTTCTCTTTTGAAGTTAAAAAAATACTTCAGCAATGGAAATACCCACTTACTGGTTGCTTTCATACGTAAATGTCTTCCTGTTTAAAAGGGAGCCTTCCAAAATTACTTTGCTGGCTAAAAATGTAGTGCTTTTCTGTTGGCTGCCCTTCAGAGTTCCACTCAGTATCTATACATGTGGGAATACCCATTACACACTGTTTTTCTTCTAAACCATTAGAAAATAAAATTTTACTGTTTTCCTATTTGTCTACAATCTTTCTACCTTGCTAATGATGTTTCTACACTGATTGCCCCTCTCATGTATTTCGATATTTATTGGGAGAAAGAAACCAAATTTTTTATTCGTTTCTTCTGATGTGAAACTAAAAGCTCATTCATTCTGTCTGTGAGGAATGAGCTACACATGAAAGGCAGCTGGCACCCATCCTATCACTATCCGCTTTCCAGTTCTACTGAAGGAGGTTTGAACAGAAAATTAATTGGCTTTAAAGCTGCCAAATCTGATCAGCAAAGCTCAGCTGGTAACTACGTTTTCTTTAAGCTTCTCCTCCTGTTGTTTAAGCTGCAGTGCCTTAGTAAATGGACAAGAATGTCTAAGATGACAGATCAGTAACAGAATATAAATGGATTTTTCTTAAAAAATGGAGAAACAACTTAGACATAGTTCCAACCCTCTTGTAGTCAAGGGGATTTTTCACAGTGAGTCTTTTGCATTTCTGAGCTTGCTGTGAGTACCTCCAGAGTCTGGAAAGTGTAAGTGATGAAAAACTAATACTTGGTTCCTCTCATTGCTCTTCTATTATCTAAAAGCTAAAAATGGAAAATATCAGATAATGCAGAGACAGCTTAGGTATTCAGCCTGTTTCCCTGAGAAAAGGCTCATTGTGACTGTTTACTTAAAATTAAGCTGCCAATAGATGTGTTTAAAGCTCATGACATTCCGTCCAGAACTCATCAGAATTTAATTTTGCTCATTGTAGAATCTTTATGTTTTGGTTTTGAATCATCTTTGAATACCTGATGATGAGGGCAGCATTGGAAAAGAGCAGAGTGGGTGTTTTATATCGGCAGAGTGAATAGCCAGAAAAAAAGGATGGCAAAGAATCATAGGTTAATCAGCCTATCTCCCATCCTGTAGAGTCTGAAGTAAACTTCTTAATGATGACTTTATAATCACCTGGGGAACAATAAATTGGAAAAAAAAAAAGAAATTCCTTTATCAGAGTAGCTGACTTAATATGGAAAAATGACAGATGGGGTGTAGCTTGATGTAAGATAATTGACACCATCCTGTATGATATTATATAAAAATGAGAGGAATCAGGAAGTAGGGGCTACATGAAGGAGTTAACAAGTTAATGAAAGGAATACTCATTTTCTCTAAAAGGCCAGCCTAGGTGGCATGCTATAGTAATCTGCTTCAAGCCTTGCTTATTCCGTAGTATCCCAAATGATTTAGAAGAAGGACAGTGGAGAACACAGTTCATTTTTCAAATCACAGCCAGCTAGGAGAGGTTGCAAATGCTATCAGTAGCATACCTTGAAAATTCACTATAATCTCCGTAAGATGAAGAGCCAATCTGAAATCAAGATAAACCTCAAAAAAGACAAAGAAAAAGCACTATGCTTAGCAAAAAGCATCATATATGTTACTTACAAACCAGAACAATATCTAGAGTCTATATGATGTTACTGTGTGGTGAAAAAAACAGCTGAGATGTGTTAGCTATAGGATAGCAGATAAGACAGAAAAACATAGTTGTTCTCCTTTATTCTGTGCTAGTTTGATCTTAGCTGGAGGATGGGTCTGCCTATTAAAACCAAAGTGGGCAGAGTGGGAAACAGGAATAATAAATGGTGAAGAAAATATGACCTATGAGGAAGGGTTGAAGCAGTTGAGTTTGTTTAATTTTGAGAAAGCACAAATCAAGGGAAGGCACGATAACAGGTAAGTTATAGAAAGGACGGTAGTCAGGTGTTCACTGAGTCTTGTAAAAAGGACAAGAAGAAATCAGCTTAATTTGCAGCAGAAGACTTAGGATGAGTGATAATCTGTCCCATTTCAAGGACAGTGGAATGGGCTACCTAGAGCACTGCTTATGCTGCGTTGCTCTCTCTCAAGGGACAGGGCAGCTTCGAAGAGCTGCTTAACAACATGAAACAAACATAGCCATCAGCATGCGTTTGCCAAGCGCTAGCAGCTTCCTCTATGCCTCCTGAAGGAAAGGGTCCATGTAAGGTCCATCTTAGTTTGAAACTGCAGGGCACAGCCTGCCACTGGCCCTTCCCTATCTGGTTTGATGGTCTAATCTGGGGTGGCAACCAATATTCCTAAAGCCTTGAGATTCTTTGAGGAGCAAAGTGGTTACTCGGATTTTGAAACAAAACAAAGTATTTTTGACAGGTGAGAAAGACAAGACAAGGATTTTTAAAAGAATTGCCTTCGAGCCTGGCTACCTGAATACATGGATAATCTCTTCTCCCCTTTCTTCCGATTTCTGCAGCTACAACTGACAAATGGCGATAAAGCATTTTTTTCCACCAGTGGTAATGTCGTGGCACTTGAGCAACCCACCTGGCCCTGCTGCCGAGAGGGTCTCAGGGCTGCTGAGCCGCCCGGGTTGGGGACAGGTCTCCCCATGCCATGCCATGCCATGCCATGCCATGCCATGCCCTGCCCTGCCCTGCCCTCGCCTCGCCCGGCTGCAGCAGTGCAGCGGAGCGGAGCAGGCGGGCTGGCTCCTCCATCCTGCCCTGCAAGGGCAGACATTCCCGGCTTTTATTCTGAAATGGTGATGTCAGGCAGCTCGCTCCAGCTGATCCATCAGCGCTGGCTGCACACCATCATCCTGGCAACGGTACCTTTACCTGACCATCTCCGACCTGATGCCTTCTTCCGAGCGGAATATGCTTTCCAAAATCCTTTTGTCTGCCGTCAGCCTCCTGCTTGCTAGTTTGCAGCACTTCCTCTGCACCATGCTGCCATTTATTCCAGGTAAAATGCGTAAACAAACAAATCCTTCTATGCCAGCATCTTCGAAAGGGGTTTTCTGTTGCTGTTAAGAGCTGCTTCTGACACAGGTCGGTAGAGCGATTTCATTTCTATTGATCAGAAATTAGGAACTCAGCAATTTGAAGTGTTTGTTGGAAGCCAGAAATTCTGTGTTATTTATTGAAAAGATAAACAGGAGAGGCAAGTACATTGCACAGATTCCCTCGGATTACTAGCAGATACTAATGGTTTAGAGCTGGAAAACAAGTAGGCAGCAGATTCTGTCTGCAAGGGAGCCTGCTGTGAGACGTGTAAGTGGGCTGTGAAAGGGAAAGGATTGTTCAGAGCAGCGACATTACTGAAGCTTTGATCTGAGCATACAATGGGAAACGACACCAAGAGCTTTTGTATCGCTACTGAACTCTGCAATTTCTGGCGTCATTGCACAACCTGAGCTGTCTTTTTTTTAATATATCTAACAGAGTGAGATCTGTTGTCACAAAATAGGAACCAAATCTCTGCTTTTCGATGGTGGTGGTGTTTTTGTCCCTTTGGAATCAAAGGATTGCTTCTGGGGTAGCCATGTTCTGAAACCTGCCTTGTGCCACTGGAACACATCCATGGATACAAATTTCGGAACAGTTCAGGAGGTTTCTTTTTCACTGCACATGTTACTAAGTTGGTATAAGGCACGTCTCATCAACTACGTCTGTGAGATGGAAGACGGAAAATTCAGAGGCAGAGTAATTAATGCAAGCTAAGTGACCAAATACTAAGTCTAGCATTGGGAACATTATATAAAACAACCTATGGTATTAGCATTTCAGGGTGAGATAAAGTGCTTTCCTGCTGGGAAAAAAAGTCTATATGCATAAATTTTTGATGTTCTGCTAGCAGACTGCAACAACTGTATAGTCTTGTTTAAACTGGGGCTCTCTGCTAAATTTAAATTCTTTTGCACTCTGCCTCTTTCATTATGCTTTGAAGCTGAACTGCGTAGGAACATAAAGAGCTGTGTTTCTTGTCTTGATTACCCAAGTGACACGAAAAGCCTGCAAATTTCCTTGCCTTGTTTTCTGCATCTTTTTGAAAATTATGGATTTTCCCTGACTTTTACTAAGGTCTTCTTAAAAAAGCTTGCTGATAGAATTGTCTCAGTTTAGCTAAAAGGTGAGAATGTTGAATCATGAAAAACAAACCCCTCTATTATTTGTTCAGGCATGTGAGTGAAACACTGATAATAAAAGCAAAAAGTGTGAATAAAATTTATTCCATCTGATATGTTTCCTGTGACACCAGCAAAATTTTCCTAGCTCACCAGTTGTTCATAGTGCATTTCTAGGAGAGGTGTTCCAAGAACTTGATTGTGTAAATCAGTATTTAACAAAGAAATTACACTTTCTTCATGTTGGCAAAAAAACACCCTCAAAGTGTAGAATCTCTTTCTACGAGTGTCTTTGGGAAATCAACAGATATTTCATATGCAAGAGTATGCACAGTTCACACTTGCTTTTCTCCCTTACCTCCCTTTGACAAGCCTTTCTCCACTCCTTTTCTCCATTTCTTCTTCCCTGTGTTTTCTATTACTTCTTTTATGTTCTTCTTTGCCTCTTTGCCTGTTAGCAAGGAAGTGGGTGGCTGAGCCCCTGGCAATGGGAAATCAACAAGCTAGATGGAACAAGGAGTCAAGTACGGGGACTTCCCAGGAGACACAAGGCAAGTGCAACAACTTCAGAAGTCGGTGTGGGACACTCAGGTGAGCTGAGGGGTTCAAGCCTGGTGAAGGCAGAGGGTGAAGGCTAGAGTCGGGATGGCAGAAATCAATAGCTACAGCAGCTTCAGTTGGGGCTGAGGGAATAGGGAAAGCTGGTTTGCCTGCCCTGTTGTTCCAGACTGTGATTTACGGAGACCATAATGTGGCCCATGTCTTGTGCCAGAGGATTTCCAAATCAGCTGTGTGGTCGTTCTGAATTTGCATGAGTCCTCAGGGAAAACAGAATTCTTACTTCACTCTCCGTGCTTAAAGAGTGCCAGCTGTGAGCATTCTGTTTGCTGAAGTCTGCCCTTAAGTCTGGTCCGGGATCTCCTTCGGAATCAAGCCGTTAGACTATGCAGTTGCATGTGGAGGCAAAAGTTGGTGGTCCCTGTGCCGTGGATTTGAATATGTAGGTTAAAATCAGAGTGGATTTGCTATATCCAATGTGATTTCAATTTTCACAGCTAGCAAATGGCTTCTGTGTTTCCTCCAGCCACTGTTAAGATTTTCTCTCCCGCCCATTGCTATTTAAGTACAATTCAACGTCTGACTCATTGCTACTCTACCCAAAGCAGGTGGGGTCGCTTCTTTTGTACAGAGACTTTTTCAAGATCCTTGTCCTTGGTTCCACTGTTTCTGGATATAAATCATGAATGCTAGGATGTCAGTTTGTGACAGGCAGAGAAATCATGGCACACTGCTTTTTGAATGGAAACAGTACATGAACAAATAACGCCAGGCTATGATAATTCTGTAGTAATTGCTTACAATCTTTAGAAAAGATTTGAGGAAAAATTACAATGCTGTATTTGGCACTGCCTCTGCTCTGATGTGCCAAGGGAAGTTTAGATCTCAAGCCTATTTTAAAAGATTTGAGGTAAAATGGGAATTATAGTCCAGAAATGAAATTTTTGAGATGGCAGGTTGTAATGTGGTGCTGATTTTCAGATATTATGTTCAAGCAAATACAGTAAGTCCCACTGGGACTGTAGTGCCTTTGATTTATTGCTTATTCAAGTTCTTCTGTCTTGGAGTGTATCCAGAACAGAGTCAGTATTTAATTTTACTTACATGTTGCTCAACATCAAAAAACAGTCTGTCTTCTGTCTTTTGCAGAGATTGCTGTCTTCTTGGGTAGCTAGATGTTACCGTAAGTTAAGCTTTATGCCTCAGCTCTTATCTGAAGGTGATGCACCTTTATTACAATTGCTCGTGAACATTGCATTCAAGTAGGAAGTGTTTCTGTACCATCTGCTCAGTGCATTTCAGAGTAGGTGCAGATAAATGTAACAGGTTTTAGTATTAACTGTAATTAAATTTGAGGGTAGACTTTATTCAGATTTTTTTTTTTTTTAATAGGGAAGAAGTGTAATAGGGAAAAAGTGCAGCTGTGGTGTTTGGTTCCCCCCCCCCCCTTTTTTTTTAAACACAGCTATGGTGACTCACAGATTAGCAACAAAACAATTTCGTTTGATGTGCTTATTCTGTATTGTACTGTGCTGCATATGTATTGCAGCAGCTTGATTTTTTTGGAATTAATGCAAGCTTTTCCTGTGCCAATGGGGGGAATGAGTTGCACTAGGCCCTTCTGGTGTTAGCTCCATGTGCTAATTAATCCATGTTGTTTGCTGCTGCTACTGATCAAACCTCAGTATTGCACAGATAATGATTCCTTAAAAAAAGAAAAAAAAGGGTCAGGTTGCATAAAGTCCCTGCAAAGAACCTGTCTGACCACACCTGCCCAACCACCCTTGCATTGCCCAAATGCTGCATTGCTTTGTAGACAACATCATGTTTCCAGATCAGACGAGTGATCTGCAATACTGAGGCAGTTTATATAATGCAAGTAAAGGACACATTTTTTTGTGTTATGTCGAGTTTAGAGGTCATTGCTTATTTTTGTCTTCTGTTTCTTGTCCTGACTCTCTTCAGAACAAACTCACCAGAGCAAACCTCCTGGTTTTGGTGGTTTGGTTTTTTTTGCCTTGCACCCCTCCCCTCCTCCTGGCTGTTCGAAATTGTCCTAGAATGACTTGTCATGTTTCTGAAAACTTCTCTTTTGACTCATCTAAGTATCATGATTGGATTACATTTTGCATGCATTACTGTCAGGATCTTCAGCTCATTTGAGTGGTTCCCAGAAGGAGAGAGAGTACATTGCTATGCTTGTTTCTTTCTTTCTGATCTGATAGGACAGGGTATTAACTTACACAGTCTTGTTGTATATAGCCTGTTCTCAGACACTTTCTAGACTATGTCTTTAAATGAATTCTACCTAGATGAATTCTGACTAGATCAGATTTCAGGAAGGATTATTAAGATGATCATGTGAATGGCAATGTTATCACAAGAGACGGACAACAAAAGGACTTGCTTAGCTTAGGAAGTGATATGATTCCTCACTCTAAATAGATGTGGTAAACACAAGAGAGGGAGAACTACCAAAGTCAGTTAACAGTGCTGACAGAAAAACAAGGGGGACAAGCTGGCTTATGAATAAAGTCCTGTAAATTCAAAGGATTTTACTAATCATCTGGGCAATGAGCAGTCTTCCAAAGAGGCGGTAAATGCCAGCAAACGTAGTAACTTTTAAGACAGAGTTCATATATATGACTCTCTGGGACAGCAGTTGGGAGGAGATGACCCAGGAGGTCCTTTCTGGTCCTGTTCGGGCTCATTTGTGAAGTTTATCTTTCTAAACTCCCATGTGTAATTATGCTGCTCTCCAGGAATTTTCAATGTAGTGCCATCCTTGGCCATGCCATCTTTGTTTCTGCCTGGATGCAAAAATGTCTCCTTAGGGACACATTGCTCTCATTTTTCCTGCATATTTGACATCTTTGCAAACTGTAGCTTGGCCTACTAAAACTGCATTTCTGCAAATACTGATGGCAGTCACTAAACCTGCCAGGTGTTGGTTGATATGAAAAACCTCTACTTCCTTATGTCTAAGGAAATACTGTGAAGCAGTAGTGTTGGGATCAGATTGAGTGCTTCATATAGGATTTAATCAGAACTTAATTGAATTTTAAGAGGGAGAGGATGTTGATGGTTTGAGGTTAATTGCTTTAGCCCTGCAGCCTGAATTCTTTATCTAGCTGATTTACCATATTAGACATCTAAAGAAGGATTTGAGGATTGGCAAGACAGAGAACTACATTGAAGGGATCTTGCAATTTACCTTCCTGCATGGCTAACACTTATTATGGCTGTGGCTGTTCTAAAGAAGCAAGCTTAGAAAAATGCTATCATCTGACAACTGAGTTCTTTTGCAAATATTCTCATGTCTGAAATAGCAAATTTCCTCTGTTGATGTGAACACATGGTTTCAGAGGCTCACAAGTAAGTTGTGCAGCAGCTTCACTTAATCACATGGATTAAGGAATGTAGGCTAGAAGAAGCGGTGGTGAAAGTGACTAGTATAACCAGAACAAAATGCTACATCAAAAAATCAGAATGAAGTTCAGTATCAGTCTGGATTCTGTTTAGTGTGTGGTCCTGTCTCTACTAGACCTGGTTCAGGAATGGATTTCTGTATGCCATGCTGTCCTTTTTCATCAGTGTTTCACTTCCACCTAAATCTTCATCAGTTCTAGTTTAGTTCAGGGCTCAATGGTCTTATGGTGCGGATGAAGCAATGTAGCAAAACAACTCCGCTGACCTGTGGACATGAAGACTATGACAGATGAGGAGGTGATCGCATTGGGAAGGAAGGCAACAGCCTGTGTACTTTCTAGGTAAATCCACCTCCACAGCTAAATGGATTGCTAAAACAATCCTTGTGTTGATGAGGCTTTGCAAGCCAGGCTACTGGAGCCAATAACTAACTGTGTGCTGTTAGCACACAGCATTCAAGTCAGTTCATGCTTTCTTGATGCTTTTGTCCTGTAACTATGCGTAATAAGGGGGATATTGCATTCAAACAAGAGGCTCCATCAGAAATTATCCTTTTCCGCTATTGTTTATTTACTTACCAAGTAAATGTATTTAATCTGTTTTGTCCTATCCTGTAAATGTATTTCAGTTCAGTTTCATATGTGTTCTTCCTCACTTCCATTTTTTTGAGGAGGTGCGATTATTTTTGGGTTTGTTTTTTTTTGCGCAGCAGAAAAGCCAGTGTTTTCCTTTTTGAGCTTCTGTAATCAGATAGTACCGGTGAGTTTGAGAGCTGATCTGTACACCTTTCAATAGCCTCTGAGCTTCTGGTTTATTGCATTTCAAATAATGTCAACTTAGCAGAGTCCTCCATGTGTAGTGTAGAGAAAATATAACAACCTGTATTCAACAACTTATAGTCCAAAACTTTGGGTTTTTTAACATCATGTTCATAACATTTGTTGTGTAACAACCTATGGCTTGCCTGGATTTAGAGCAGTCCACTGGGACTCCTCTGGGTTGTCCTGTGGGATGTTCTTCCTAGTGAAATGCCTTTTTTTTTCTTTTTCTAGAAGAGCCTCTGTACTATGGGCAGAAAAACTGTTTTGATTTTTTTAATTCAGTAGAGGATGTTGTACAGTTTTGTTAAAAATAGCAGATTGTTTTGAAGGAACCTAATGCCACGATACATCCCCTCTCCTAAACTCCCAAGCTGGGAGATCCTGAATTTTGCTGACTATTCAAATTAAAAGGAATACTGGTAGCATAAAATTTCTTCACTGTGAAATGATCAGCATTAGGAAAACCATGCATTAGCTTTAGCTGCAAAACAATGCTGCTTCTTACTGTGAGCAACCTTATAGCCCAATTTTTCACACAGTTTCAGGAACTCTTGGTTAAACCCAGCTCAGATTAAGTCCTAGTCAGAGGTGTCTGAGGCAGCACCAACCATGATTTGACCTGGATACCGCTTGTTAAATTGTATGTTGCTGCATTGTTGACTTCATCCATAAGCAGCAGTGAGCATAAGCACAGTGAGGCTGTGGCATCACCTTTGGCCAGTTGCTGCCATCAGCTTTGCTGGAGGAAGAGCTAGGTTTGTCAATTAGCTAGAATGGCAGCTTCAAAGCCAAAGGCAGTAGTTGCCTTCTTGAAATACTTTTATATATTATTTTTAAAATAAGATGGATTTGCTTCTAAAGCAACTCACACAATTTACAAGTTGCAATCAACTTTACAAATCCTGCCATAGCATAGCATAGCATAGACTAGAGGCCACCATGCACAGCAATCCTTGCATCCAATCTGATAGCACAAAGTTGGAATGAACCATGCCTTTAATTGCAATGCTCCAAACCTCAAAGGAATGGACACTGCTTTACAAGGTGCCTAATTACATCTTTCTGCTTGTGGCTAGGGTCTGCAATAGTAAGACTGACTCCTTTCTCTCACTTTCTTCAGCAGACTGCTTGTCAGAAATCGCTGGGAGATTATTTTTAGGGCTCCCCCTCAACATTACTCTGTGCATCATCCCAACTTGGAACAGATTTCTTTTTGCAGCCTCACAGGTTCTTATAATAAATATCTGTATGTTACTTCCTCTCAGTTACTTATTGAAATAAATTCCAAATATAAACTTCTTTAACTAAAAGAAAAGTTTTCTTCTTTCCTATCATCACATATTTTATTATCTCCTTTGGACTGCAGAACAGGTGTCTCTAATACACTAACTACAGTAGAGTTAAATCCACTGGATTTTCAGCTCCCTGTGGATGTGTGGGGTATTATGGGAACACAGCTTTAGCTTGAATATCCACTACAGCTTGACCGCTTGCAGAATCCTGAATGCACTTCTCCTAGACATCCAAACTCAAGCTCTAGTAATTGTCTGTTTATTCAAGTGAAAATCTTAGTTACCTGCTTTTTGTTCTCACTGGTTTCTTTGCAGGTTTAAAGAATTTCTTGCCCAGCCCACCAAAAGAGGAAATCACCTTCCACAGCCCCAGGGGTTTGCAATGCATCTCACCCTTAATGCAGACAGTAGAGGAGACCCCTCAGCCCATCCCAGCAAAGATCAAAGGACATATCCCCAAATGGATTAATGGCAATCTTCTGAGGAATGGTCCTGGGAAGTTTGAGTTTGGCGAGGAGAGGTAAGTCCAGGTTTGGTGAGTTTATCAAATGATTCTGGCCTGAGTTCTGCCTAAACCTAAAGCAGACCCCCCCCCCCAAATGTCTCACCACTGTTTGGGGCATCTTGTAGTTTCTTTTTAAGTAAGTCAAGGAAGAAATGCTTATGTTATAATTTTTTTAAGAGCAGTTGGTCCCTTATCTGGAAACTCCCAGTGGGCTCTCTGAAAATAGGAGCATGGTTAACTTATTAAGGTTGGAGAAGCTGAGTCACAGAGAGGCTATGACCTACTCAGAATGATATAATGAGGGAACAGAGCCGGGGATTAAAGCATCCACACTCCTAGTCCTTTGTCATTAACAAAATCCATCCCATGAGCACTCTGAAATCCGGGGCAGGATTTGTAAAGTTGATTGCACTAAATTGTGTGAGTTGCTTTAGAACCAAATCCGTCTTATTTTAAAAATAATATATTAAAATATTTCAAGAAGGCAACTACTGCCTTTGGCTTTGAATCTGCCATTCTAGCTAATTGACAAACCTAGCTCTTCCTCCAACAAAGCTGATGGCAGCAACTGACCAAAGGTTATCATCTTCTCGTATTTCCAGAGACAGAGAATAAGGTTTTCTCAAAATCTCAGAGATTTCTCATTTTGGAGAGAATAGCATCCTGCAAACAGCTGAGAGCTAAAGGCTCCTTCCTGTGTGGTTGAGCTTCCAGTAATAATTTATTTTCTTGTTGTACAGTAAAGCGCAATTTCTATTCCCTATGCAGAAGTCTGTAGAGCGATTGGTTTACCAGTATAGATTATTTCCCCCAAAAGCTTATACATAGCATTTTCATAAGTCCCTGAGGTCCACTTTCAAAAGTAATATAAAGAGTTCAAAACTCACTGAAAGTCAGCATCTAACTTCAGATCCCACAGCTGCAAATACACTTGATTTGTTTCACTCAACTCAGATGTTTTCCCAGACTCATCACAAGGCTACGCATGTTTACATATTTATGGGATCTGGGCATTAGTTTTTTACAAACAATAATAAACCTAAAGATAAAAGGGAACAGTACAGCAGAACATCATATAGTGCCCAACTCTTTTTCTCTTATTTATCTCTTCTTGAAGATTTAACCATTGGTTTGATGGCATGGCCCTATTGCATCAGTTCCAGTTGGAGAATGGCACAGTGACATACCGGAGCAAGTTTCTGCAGAGCAATTCCTACCTGACTAACAGCCAGCACAACCGCATTGTGGTCTCAGAATTTGGAACACTGGCAATGCCAGACCCGTGCAAGAGTGTCTTTGGGCGCTTCATGTCACGTTTTGAGATGCCACGTAAGAGGGTTTCTAAGAAATAAGAAATATTCTAAGATTTTCTTTGGGAACTTGCTGTTAGGTTTAAAGGGAGATGTGAGGAAGTCTGGTAGGCCTATTCTGAGCCTATGTTTTTATTAGAACATGACTCCTTGGAACAACAACAAGAACAACAAAAATGCAAGTTGGTGTCAGATTTAGCTGGGAGAGGCACATTCAGTTTAATGTTTTAGTGCCACTTCAGCTCGCTTGGTTTGAGTCTGTTGCAAATTTCCAACAGAAATCTTTCCCCAAAGAATACCCTGTGCGGTCCTGATAATGAGCATTACAATCTGCTGTCCTACCTGAGACACAGCTTTGCCCTTAAAACACCTTGCCTTGCTAAGCTTGTAGGGTAAGTGGGCTAATCCTTCCCTTCCTGTACTAAAGTGCAGGAGATGATAGGAGCAGGGTGAGTGACGCTACTGCACAGGAATGGAAGTACCGTTACCTTTAGGATTCTGTGTATGTCAGGAAAGAAACAGGCTTAAACGCAAGCATTTTCAACTAAAACCAGAACAGACCTGAAGTTTGCCACTTGTTGCTCATGTGTGTGACCATCTCCTGCTCCTTGTATTCCCTGAGGAGATGGATCCTGTCTTGCCATGTCATCTGTTCCCTTCAAAGGTGCTCAAACCTTCACTCATTGGTCTGCCTAACTCCCCAACTCCCCACCCCACCCCAGCTCTCTCAGTAATTTTCAGACCTATCTACATCCCCCATATTCTTTCCCAAGCTGCAGCAGGTTGTTCCTGCACACCCTTGCCTGTTTGACTCTTCACACGCATGTAGGCTATTCCTCAGTACAAGGAGGCCTGTCCTCTGGGCTTTTCCTGTACCAACTTCAGGCTCTGTGTTCACCACTCACACAATGTATACAATTGGGGGAATTGCTTTTTCCTCAGCTCTTCTCAGCCACCTGGGCAGTGAGTCTCAGCTGCCCTAGGAGTAGCAAGAACAGCTCTGGCTGTTGTGTGCACGTCACTCTCAAAAGGCATCTGCCTGACTCAGTTTTGAAGAGGAAGAGAATAGGGAAGATGAAGCATTCCCTGTCCAAGCCCTGTCACAAATAGCATCCCTGCCCTCCTCTCAGCCCAAGTTGTAGCTTCAAGTCTTGCCTCTCTTGTTTCCAATACTGTAAATCAAACATGGCACTCTTCACATGTCTGTCAGAAGAGAGGACTTTGGCTGGGGAGGAAAGGGAGAGGGATACGAAGAAATAAGAAGTCAGAAACAAAGGGCATATGGAAGTATGAAGATTATCTTGGCTTCACTGCAGTGATTTCCAGAAGGAACAGTCTGTTTACTCTTATCCTGAACTCACCTGTGCAGGCAGTTTCCTGAGTGCCATTGTAGATTAGTGAGATATTTCTAATCAATCACAGAGGGATTAGTGTCAATGCAAGTGGGGTTTTTTTTGTTTAAACATGTCTAACTTTCTATAACGTGACACAAGTTCAAACAGAGCTGTGTACAACTCCAGGATTTTGTTTCAGAACCAAGTGACAATGCCAATGTGAACTACGTTGTGTATAAAGGAGACTATTATGTCACCAATGAGAACATCTTCGTGTACAAAGTGGACCCGGAAACGCTTGAAACGAAGGAAAAGGTGGGGGCAGATGGGATAAAGGGGTTAGCTAATGGTGCAAGAGAATCACTCCTTGGTCTTTCTAAGAGCAGCAAGGGAGAACACAGATTTGCAAAGAAATGATCAGTGCAGCTGTGGGCCATAGCCATAGGCATCTCTTCATGGTGTGCTCAAGTCCCTGAAAAATCTACTTGGCAATAAGGCAGCTCTCATGAGTGAAGATTCAGTCACTGCCCACTGTAGCAAGCAAGGGGAGAGACAGATATAGACTCGTTTCCGTTTGGGTACAGCTGGCATTCTTCCAGTGCAGTCACTGCTTGTCTGGACTTGTCTGTACCTACCAGTGTGTGAAGAATAAAAGTGCATACAGGAAGAAGTTAACATCACTGATCTGAGATCTGTATTCTTGCTCTGTCTCTTCATTCTTCCTACCTGTTCCCTTTATCTCCTTCTTACACCCCCAACTTTAAACACTCCAAAATGGCCCTTCAAAGTCTAGGCTAAAACCTCTGTTGCAGATGGGTGGTGAGGTCAACGTAAAGTCCAGTCAAAGTTCAGCTGACACTTTATTTTCTCCCATGCTTACCAAATGAACAAAAAGTCAGAGTAGAAGTCCTCCCATATGTTCTGTGCGTCGTCTTACAGGAGTGTGGAAGAGTATGACTTGTGAAATGGCAGCATAAGCTTTATGTCCCCCTGCCTGCACCCTTAGAGGGGATTTGGGTATTTGCTGGGCTGGACAACTGTGAGAAGGACTGGGGAAAGATTCTGCCATTCCTAAATCACTATTAACTACTGTGTCTGTATGTTACCATGGACTATTTAATACCACATACCCTCAGATCTCAGGGGAGGCATTTCAGGAGTACCGCACTCCCTATAGGATCAGCTGTGAGTTGTGAAGAAACTCTGTTTATGAAGTATAGCGTGCTACTTGCAGACTGAAATGGGGACTTTAACAATTTGCTATGTTATCTGTTTTGTAAACCATAATGCAGTGATGAAAAGACGTGTGGGTATTTTTAGTTTGAATGTTCAGCTCTGTTGAACCATCTTGTAATTAAAAAAAAATTCCCCTTAAGCTGCTTTTTAGATGCAGACTGGTATTTTTTGGCTAAGTGAAGAAATGGAAGGGATGATTTCATATTTAAACTCTCTGATTTGAGATGCCTTAAAAGGACACTGTTTTATAAGCTGCCAGTGGTGTGGCACTCTTTTCTACTGGGGCCTTCCAAAGGGTCTCCGGTTGGGTACTTGAAAGCCATTTTTTTAAACTTTTGGAAAAGAAGCATATCTTCCACGCTTTAATGTTTCAATGCATGGATTAATCTTCCTCCAACTTTTTCCTTCAGACTTTCTTCCCAACACATCCCCTCCACTCTCTGAGCCCAAACCACACCCTAACCCAGGAACACAAATTAACAGTACTCACAATTGTACCTTTAGCCTAACTGTTCCTTCTAGCTGTAGACAGTGAAGCTAAACTGTTTTCACTGTGAGGATCGTAACGCCTGACTGTCAATTAGCTATGAGTGCTTTCCAAAAACTTGGTGATTTTTGGGGGGCAGTGACTGTCTCGTCATGCATGTCTGTCTGTGGTTATTACATGGGGTCCTAGCTAAAATGCTCATATGGGCAACATTCCCACTGCGTTAGCACTTCCTGCCATCAGTAATGTTTGTGTCTCCCAGAGAAATGGCTAATGCCAAAATGCTCATATGGGCAACATTCCCACTGTGTTAGCACTTCCTGCCATCAGTAATGTTCGTGTCTCCCAGAGAAATGGCTAATACTATGAGTCGCATTTTACTGATAGGACTAACACAGAGAGAAACATCGATAATTTTCAAGGATTTCAGGAAGATTGCAGGCAAAATGAAGGCTTAAGTCCAGATCCCACATTAGGGCTGTAATCATCAAGCTATTCTTCCTCAGACTTTCATGAAACCAACATTTAGAAAGACTGTGGCTTGCTACAGAGCAACAGAAAACTTCTATGCTGACTGAAAATCTTTGGCATTTGCAGGTAGACTGGAGCAAATTTGTTGCAGTGAATGGGGCCACTGCTCATCCTCATTATGAGTCTGATGGGACAACATACAACATGGGCAATTCCTATGGGAAACATGGTAAGACAGCATGACCAGGCCTGGCTTGTGGGCAGGGTGTACAGGCTGCGTCTTGCTGCTGCTTCAAGGAGCAGTTGTTGAAGTAATTTCAGTGTCTAAAGAGACGACAAAATTGCTATTTCTCTTTGTGTCAAAATGATGGCAAACCAGATTAGTTCTTATTTCAGGGTGTCAGTCTGTCCCATAAAAATGGCTTCTCTCACCAACTAGTTTCAGATGCTTCTGACTTTGGCTTGTGAATATCCAGCAGATTCCCTTCTTCCTCTCCCAAGCTTTGATGGAAAACAATGATTTTTACAGTCCCATCCAGTGTTGAAGCCTCATCCGAAGAATTTTGACAGTTAGCTGCACATTTTCCACTTACAATAATTGGCTTTTGATAAGGACCATAAAGGTTTACAGGAGAGAAAGTGGAATTTATTACAGTGACCTGGCTATCTTACAGCAAAGCGGAGTTGTCTGGGATATTTTTCTTCTTCTCAAAACTATGAGCATTACATCTAGTTGAGATCTAGTTACATCGACATGGCTGCTCAGAGCTAGCATTTGCCATTAGTTACATGAAAGCCTTTTTTTTCAGGTGCCGAAGGCCTGTGAAAACAGCCACTGCCCTTTATTATGATACCTCAGGCTGGTTCCAGTTCACTGAACAGTTGCCCAGTATTGATAATTTTTCATTCTTGCTTTTTTCATTTCCTTTTGGCTTTAGCAATATCTAGCTTTGCAGCACATGCTGTTTTCAGCTGGAGAGACCAAACTACAGATTATTATTCAAATATGCCATTCTTTCCTGGCCATATGCTCAGATTTATTAAATGAGCATCAGTCATCACCAAGGCTCAAAGTTTTCATTTCCCTTGATACATAAGCTATGAACTTAGTTTTCTTCCTGCTTCTGTTATTATTATAGGATACTTTTAAGTTAACGTAAGGAATACATTGCAGACAGTAAAATTAGATGGCAGCCTACCAGACCGAGAAGATCATTCTACTTCCTTTCAAGCTTCTTTTTTTGCTAGGTAATCCTCTGTAGATTGTTTTATTGACTTGATAACTGGCTTTTTGTTTTCTGCTCTGTTTAGCTATGACTGTGGTTTCTAGTATTCTAGGGAAACAGGAATAGAGCCTGACTTTGGTTTCATGTATGTGGACAGTCTCACATCTCAGTGGCGTTGAACACCCTTTCTCCTTTCCAGGGTCTAGGTATAATATCATTCAGGTCCCTCCACAAAAGTCAAACTGTAGTGACACGTTAGAGGGAGCGAAAGTGCTGTGCTCCATTGCTCCAATGGATAAGATGAAACCTTCCTACTATCACAGCTTTGGTAAGAATGCTTTCTATCTCAAACTGGATTTAGCCTACTGTGAGGCAGAAAGGGCTGTTCACTGGCCTTTGTCTCTGAGATGTTTTATTGTCTCATTTGCTTAATACTCAGATGATGTCTCCTTGCTTCTCTATTCAGGAATGAGTGAAAACTACATCATTTTCATTGAGCAACCCATCAAGCTGAATCTGTTGAAGATTATCACTTCCAAACTCCGTGGGAAAGCCATTTCTGAAGGGATAAGCTGGGAACCTCAGTACAATACTTGCTTCCATGTGGTGAATAAGCACACTGGGGAGGTAGGTGGATCTTTGGCCTTTCCAGCAGCTGTGCAGCTGTAGCTTGAATCTTGGATCCCAAGAGAATAGTGCTGGGTAGCAGCTACAGATAGCTGTATGAATCAATCCAGAAGTTACGACATTATAGGCTTTACAAGCTTTGGTGTAGGTTTATTAGAAATGGGATTACTTCATGCGTTTTCCTCTCTATTGATTAACTTCTTTGCCAGACTTAAAAGAATGGGCAGAAATAAGCAGTTTGGGTTCCTGGGACTGCAGCACAGGGACTGAAGTGCAGTTCCCAAGTACTACAGAGCATAAAAAGGTCAGTCATAGTCTGGGAATGATGCTATAAGGAAGGAGTCATGACAGCAAGAGGCCTATCCTGGGCTGCTTTAGATTTGGCTTTTCTTCATCTGATTTTGCCTACATAAGTGGCTTTAAGCAGCCATTCTGTAGTAAGGACACAAGACAAATACCAAGGAATCAGTGGGGAATGAAATGGAGGAGAGAAGAGAAAACTCTTTGAGGTATGGCTGGGATCTTTAGAGAAGAAATTTAGCCTCTCTTATGGTCACTGTAGGTGCTGCCTGGGCAGTGGTACAGTAAGCCCTTTGCTACTTTTCATCAAATCAATGCCTTTGAAGATCATGGCTGTGTGGTCCTTGATCTGTGCTGCCAGGATGATGGAACAACTCTGGCTACTTACAAACTTCAGAATCTGCGGAGGAGTGGGGAAGGTCTAGATCAGGTAAGATCTCTGCGTTTGTGTTGCATAGGATCCGATCGCACCCCATGCTGGTTGAGTTACTTCTCTGAAGCAAGGCTCAGGTTAGTAGAATGGAGAACACTATGGGGGACCACAAGGCGGAGGATGTGAACTGGGGAAAAGAACCACAACTACATGGAAAAACTATGGAAAAATTATGATCTATTGGTATGGTGGTATTTTTCTTCCCTTTTAAATCTCTTAGCAGATAATCCGGCTTCTGTTTTTAAATCTTGTTTTTAATGATACTCATTTTCCGTATCCCTGTGTAATAAATTCTTTCCCCCAAGAAAGTATGCTAAATAAGTTTTTTCATTACTTTTAAAGGGCAAAAGAAAAAGAAACCCATGTTGTTTAAAAGCATTACTTCAGAAAACCAGCCTTTATTATGCAAATCACAGAAACACAAACATCACAGAAACCCCTACACTGTTCCTCACATTCACCTCACAACAGCATGTACTCATAAATCAGTTATTATGTCCAACTATAAGAGGCATTATTTTGCATAGGTCATACACTGGAAAAGTGGGGGTGCTTTCAGTTTCTTGTACTGCAGATGTGTTTATTGGAAACCCACCATATTGTGGGTGAAGGGCAGGCACTTCCACAACATGTTCAGACAAATCTGGACCTCCTTTGTCTGTGTTCTGATCTATCTAGAAGCAAGTCAGTTCTGATCTGAGAAGTGTATAGTTCTGTCCCTGTAGGGTCATTTTGTTCTGCTTTGTTGTTTTTTTGCAACGATGTGGTGAACATTAATTCAAGTACAGCACAGTGTTAATACGACTGTTTGCTTTGCAAACGGATTCCAGCTTTTGTTCAGCCCTCTCTGAGCATAAAAGAGCTATAATTTGATCTGTCTGAAGATGTCCTTCTCTCAACATTAGGCATGTGTTTCCAACACCCACGTTCTTTAACCGACAAGTTACATAGCCATTAAACTGTGTGCATACATGACTGCAAGTCATTTCAGGACAGAATCTTAAATGTACGCTGCACTGAAAGACCAAGGTATGCCTGAGCATGATTTGTCTGTTTTCCCCGAATCATGCTTAGTGCTTTTGCTTGCTGACTAAACCATATTTTGTCTGGCAGAGTTCCTCAACCAATGAGTTTACTGCGGCTACATAAAACATAAAAGTTTTGAAAATAGAGTTTCAAGATTAACACATATGATTAAAGTGAAGTTTCACATTGAACTGGTGAGTTACAGATTGAAGTAACTGAAAAACACCAAAACAGGGTTCTTGATACCTATTTTATTTGGAAGGCTTAATATTTGGGTTCTAAACTTGTCTTGAACAGAACTTTAGTGGCAATGGTGGAATTACTCCTCTCATGCAACCCACTGAATGACTGCCACACTGGGGGCTGCTAGTTTGCTCTCCCCTTTGCTCGCCAGGTAAATTCACCACTACCCTAGACTTCCCAAACATGAAGTCCATGTGTACCTGAGAACAGAAGAGGAAAATCATGCAGGCTAACCTCAGGCATTGTACTGAGGTACAGTAGTCTCCTGCTCGCCTTATCATCCAGGGGAGAGGGAGGGTCCTCTGGAGACTGGTGTAGAGCATTTAGTCAGATATTTCCAGTCATCCTGTGGACAAGCCCCTCCTTCCATTAATTTCACAGAGAGGCAACATTTATGCTCTGAGATTAACAGCAAGCAGTATGGTCAGTGTCTGTATCATATTGTCATCCCACAAAGACCTGAGACAGTCTACAATCAAGCAGTTTTTCTTCTGAAGCTTTGTAACTACATGCAGCTTATATAAAGTTCTTCTGCCATGCATGGTTCATACTATTTAAAATAATGTGGAAGTTTCTTAGTGCTTTTTTCAGCATCAGGCTTCCAAAGTGGGACTGCTGCTAATCGCCGATAGGGCTGTAGAGGGTGCGTTTCCAGCAGGGGTATCCCCTCTGCTTGCGCAGTGCTACGGAGGTCCCATTTTCTGTAATCCCCCTGTTAGCTCATGATCTTGAGTGGGTGAGAAGGGCCTAAGTCACACACTCAGTGGGTCGTATGTGGACAGGCTGCAAAAGATCAAAGTAAGTCTGTTCTAACTGAATAAAATATAGCACAGCATATGTCCCAATGCTGGATTTGGAGGGTAACTGAGTGATTTGCATACGCAACTCAGCATTAATTACTGTGAAAGCAATGCTGACCCATTTAATTGGTTGTCTTTTTGTTCTCTACTGTAAAGTACTGGAACAAGCAGAGTCCTTACCGGAACTTAGTAGAACATGTAACAGAAGGAAGAAGAAGATTTCAGGTTTGGGAGGAATGTCTAAAACTTAAGAATTGTTCCCCAAAAGGGCATTTAACATGAAATACCACACTCCTCTCACCATAACTTTCTGTCTCTGTAATAGGTTTATGACTCAATATCCCGAGCTTTCCCTCGTCGCTTTGTTCTCCCACTGAATGTGAATTCAGACACACCTGTGGGGAAGAATCTGAACCCACTGTCTTATACATTGGCGAGGGCTGTGAAAGATGCAGATGGCAAGGTACGTATTAAAGACTTACTTAACTGCATTTAATGGCTGTGGTGAGATTGCCTGCAACAGTTATCATCCTGTGGTATTATCTTCTCAGATCTTGTCCACCAAGCAAGCAAGGTTTGCTCATTACCAAGATGGGACTTAGTGTTTTAGGAAAAGGACTACCACATTGCCTTAAATGAGAAAGCAAAGACAGATAGTGACTTACCAAAAATGCCCAAGTGGGTTATGAGCCTTTACGATAATTGGCCAAACTTCGGCTTCTTCATTGACAAAATCCTCCATGCTTTCACCTGGGTACAGAACTGCTCTTTGCTTCCAGCTCTGAAGAGCCCTACAAAGTGGCATTTGGTAGTATAGAACATGTGTGGTCCGCTATGAGTGGGGTCATCTCTGTGTGTACTTTGTACCTGAGATTGCTGAGTGCTGGACCTTGGATCTTCTGAGCTAGTGTCATGGTTTAACCCCAGCTAGGAACTTGGCTCCACACAGCCGCTTGCTCACTCCCCCCGCGGTGGGATGTGGGAGAGAATCGGAAGGGTAAAAGTGGAAAAACTAATGGTTTGAGATTAATTCAGTTTAATAGGTAAAGCAAAAGCTGCGCTCAAGCAAAGCAAACCAAGGAATTCGTTCCCCACTTCCCATGGGCAGGCAGGTGTTCAGCCATCTCCGGAAAAGCAGGGCTCCACCACGTGTAATGGGTACTTGGGAAGACAAATGCCATCACTCCAAATATCCCCCATTCCTTCTGCTTCCTGCAGCTTTATATACTGAGCGTGATGTCATATGGTACAGAATATCCCTTTGGTCAGTTGGGGTCAGCTGTCCTGGCTGTGTCCCTTCCCAACTCCTTGTGCACCCCAAACTGAGTCGCTGGTGGGGTGAGAAGCAGAAAAGGCCTCGACGCTGTGTAACCACTGCTCAGCAATAACTAAAACATCCCTGTGTTATCAACACTGTTTCCAGCACAAATCCAAAACATAGCCCCACACCAGCTATTGTGAAGAAAATTAACTCTACCCCAGCCAAAACCAGCACACCTAGCAGTGCAGGAATATGTGGACTTGCTCCCAATTTTCACATTAGACTGATTCTTGAAGTTTCCAAGGTCTGCGATGATGACTCAGTTCTTTGGGTGAAACAGATAAGGGAGATGGAATTGGTGCTTCCACCTGCCACAGTGCAATATCAGGCTCATCTTTAAACATTTCTTCTCCACAACAGTTGCGCAGTGGGTTGGTGGCACCAGTCAGGTCTTCTGCCCAGTCAAAGCTAAACTGACACTCATGTAACGCATACTTCTTCTAGGTCTGGTGCACACCTGAAAATCTCCACCCTGAGGGCTTTGAAAACATTGGGGGCTTGGAGTTCCCCCAGATCAACTACTCTCGGTACAATGGTAGGAGGTACCGTTACTTCTATGGATGTGGTTTTCAGCATTTGGTTGGAGATTCCTTGATCAAGGTTGATGTGGAGACCAAGAATTTCAAGGTGAGGTGAAGTGAGATTATCTTCTTTTAGCAATGGGAGTCATTTCACTGAACTGGCCTTGAAGATATGTCATTTACTAGGCACTTTACTCTTAGGGGTCTTTGTCTAAATCGGTCTGAGATGAGATTCCTAATTTCATCTCTCACCTAGCACCTTATGAATGTGGCACACTTACCAAACAGGAGAGGATATCACTCCAGGTTCCTAGAGAGAGGACGGAACAGAAAGGGTTGGATAAAGTGTTCATGTGTCTTCCAGGTCAAAGAAGAATCATCTCTTAGCAGACAGTACAGAAAATACCCCAGTAGCATAGGCAGTTGGACATAAACTGCCAAAGTATTTATGACTCGGGCAAGAAACAAGGTTTAGGATAGTTCTGACAGCAAACACAAGGTGGGATATTTCCTGTGTCTCCCTTAAGCAGGGAATAATGATCTCCAAAGCGTTAAACACTTAGTAATCAGAGACTTTCCCAGAGGCTAGAGAGAGTTAGGAATCCTCAGAAAGAGGCGCCCATTTTAATTATTCTGCTCCAGACACTCATTTTGCAGTAAGAGGCCCTCCTCCAGCACAGCTTTGAGGTGCTATGGCTTTGCCTGCAATAGGAGCAGCAGCTATGCCCTCAGGTGGTGGTGATGATAAATCTCCTTCTCTATCCTGGCATGCCACCTCTCTCTCCACACTGCCTGGGCACAACATGGTCTGCACTAGGGTGGTGTGAAGGTGGGTGTGCCGCCTAGGACGGTGATGGTGTCTGAGTTTGTAGCTTATACCTGTGCCAGTGCAAACTGTTGGATGAAATGAGTAATAGGAACTCTTTTCACTGCCTGTTTGCATGATGCCTGGCACAATGGGCATGCTGGCACAACAATGGCACCATCATACTACTGGAATCAAAAGAATTAATTAAAAGGTTGAACTATAGGTTTCCTGGGAGCGCAGAGTATGCCTGGGCATCTTTGTGGGGAGCACTGCAGCTTGCAACTCTGCTAACTGTAGTAGACAGGTATTAATGAAATGAAACACATCCATATGTTACTGTGCTTGCTAGATTTGGCAGGAGGATGGATTCTACCCGTCAGAGCCTGTGTTTGTGCCAGTGCCTAATGCCACAGCAGAAGACAGTGGAGTCATCTTGTCTGTTGTGGTCTCCCCCACTGAGGTAACTTATTGCTACTAGTTCATCAAAGTCACATAGTATTAGGTATACGTTCTAACCACAAAACTGAATTTGAGGCTTTCTGGCAAATAGGCCTAGCACCACGCTCCCCAAGGTATGTGCCTCTGCAACTGCCAAGCACAGCCAGGCAAACATAAGTAGGGGTGTACCTTGGAATGTCAGTGTTCCTTGAGTGGCATCTGTGATTATCATTGCTCCTGGCCAAGTGTCTCACAGGTTTAGTCTGTATGGTCTGGTTGTACATGACCGTAGGACCTGGTTGTACATTTGGGGTCTCTTGTGTGCAACAGCTGTAGTGGGTTGTACAGTGGATTGAAATTCAACCTGGGCGTTCATTCTGGCTTTCTTTTTGTCCTGCAGAACCAAAGTGCTTTCCTGCTTGTCTTGGATGCAGAGAGCTTCAGAGAACTAGGGCGAGCAGAAGTCGCAGTGCAAATGCCTTATGGATTCCATGGCATCTTTACTTCCCACTGACTGAGGACCTTGCCACCGCCTGTAACTCAGGGCCAGGTCAAGCTCAGAAAGAAACATCTGCTCTCTTTTACCTTCCACCTTTGCATTACGCCCTGGATGAAAACACTGCTTTTTCTCTATCGTAACCTCTCTATCTTAATTTTCTGACTATCTTGATAGACCAGTTAGCAGCAGTTCACAAAGGCTGCCATGCGTAAAGCTTTCAAGGGAGAAAATGGAAAGTAAGATGACCATTACCTTCCCTCAGTAGCAGTGCACTTTGAAGGGAAGAGGATATTGGTGCTTAGGGCAGTGACTTTGGCTGAAATGTGTAAAGCAGAAGAGAGGAGTAAAACCAACTAGTAACAGGTAGGCCCAATGAGGGGATGTAATTTCATCCCCATTGCATAAAGATTGCCTTCAGTGAACTCCAGAAGGTAGATGCAAACGCTCACAGAAGCTGTACTTGCAGTGCTTTTCTCTGTATGCTAACGGTGCCCTTAAATAAAACCTTGCAAAGTTTCTTCTTTTCTTTCCCTGCCCTCACCAGACCCATGGCCAGCTTTGTACTATGACCCAAGGGGCAACAGCTGCAACCTTGACACACACCTTATTATGTTACATGGTCTTGTAGAGATCCTCGACACGTCTCCACCATGCTCTTGCTTAAGCAGCATAGCTGGATACAGCTCTGATGACTAACATTTCCTGCCCTCCTCCTAATTCAACCAGTATGAAACATGTAGAACTCCATTGTGGCCTTGATATCCCTTTGCTCGTAAGTTGAGCAGATCAAACTCAAACACCCTCTCATATGCTTGCTTCCTCATCCATGCTCCTACACTTCTTGAACTCTGAGGTGCAGGTGGATAGGTGTGTTGAGGGAAGCCCTCTATAGCAGTTCACTTGCCGGCTCTGCCTTTAGGTACACTCTGAAAAGTGAAGGCTTCCAGGAGAATGGATTCCCCTCCTGGGTTAAGGACTTTTTATATTGCTTCATTGTGAGAAGCCTGGAGAATGTTTTGAACCACTTCCTTAGGCAAAAAATGAGCCCTTGTGCCCTAGAGTTTGAAGGAAAGCCCCTGCTTCCTATTTGCAAACTTGCTTTGCCTTTTTTTTTTTTTCTTTTTTTTGACTCCTGAGGTTCTAGAGGCCAGCCCAAACAGAACTGAACCAAATCAGAGCTGACTCACTCTACCCAAACAACCCAGCTTTCTCTCCTCTCTGACCTTTCGTCACCTTCCTTACAGGTCTTGGGGAAAAGACAAGGGAGAGAAACAAGGGTTGCACACCAGGGCTGCAGCACCGTGACAAGGCTCATCTCACGAAGCCACCAGATGGCAAACACCTCCCGTTGCTGGTGCTCCAGCCCTACCGACCTCGTGCCTTCGCTACTGCAGCTGGCCCCTGTCTGTAACTTGCCATGTCAGCCAGTGGAATTACCCTCCTGTAGCCTGTCACCCACAGGGTGAGGGGACAGCCCCCAGCGAGGTCACATCCCTAGGACTGGAAGCTGAATCATAGAATGGTTTGGTTGGAAGGGACCTTAAAGATCATTTTGTTCCAACACCCCTGCCATGGGCAGGAACACCTTCCGCTAGAATGATGCTAAGGAAGTGCTTAGTGACGGCGGGTAGAGTTGCTGCTCTTTTCAAAATTTTTTTTTCTTGGTGAGGTGCGAAGAGGAAAGGCAAACCCTGTGTTAATTGCAACCAGCCAGAGTACCCAAGGCAGGGCTGTCGGCCAGTAGTGGAAGCGAAGAAAGATGCCCTGCAGTGCAAAGTCCATGCTGTGTTTATAAAGTTGTACTTCAGCAGTATGCAATCCTAGCCCCTGCCTGTGTTGTGTGCACACAGGCTATACTCTGCTAGCTTAAGAGCTATTTTTTCTCCTGTTCCTGTTACACGGACACCCTGCCCTGAGGCTTGGAGCTTTCCCACTCTCACAAACTGGCAGATATACTCTGTTATCCCTGGGGCACTAAGAATTCCTAGGAATTAAGGGAATATGCTGATCCAGTCACCTCCATTCAAACCCCTGCAGCACTGAGAAATCCAGGTTCCACCCCCTCTCCCAAAGCTTTCTGAAAATCACTACACTTGATGGATTCCTCTGCTTGAACTCCATGAATGTTAGCACCAGAGTGCACTCCTTCAAGTCTGTCAGGTTCATAACCATCCCAGAGGTCAAACTGGTTTGCCAGGATATAAGGGGAATCAACAGGCCTGGCAGGCCCTTCATGTGACTGGTGCAGGGAAGGACTGCTGTGTACATTTAATTTCTCTAAACCACCTCAAATCAGGCACATGACCAGCGAGCAGGGCATTCTCAAAGGTTTAACAATAGCTCCTCAGATACCACAGTGCTGTGGAACGGACAGAGCTCAGTTTTTCGGGGTGGGTATGATCCACAAAGTTTTCTCAGTCTCTTCAGGTGAGTATTGCTTTGTGAACTGCTTCTCTTTGGATTGCTGTGTAAACACCTTACAAGCGCATTCAGAGCCTGCCACCTTTCCTGTGGCAGGCCCACCCCTGTGCACCAGTGCATTTATGAACACACTTCTTGCAATTGTCATAATAGAAGAAAACACAAGCAAGTCAAACTGTTGGCCCGCAGGTCAAATCATTGCTAACGTTACCTCTACAGGATGAATGAGAGGATGAAACGCATTGAAAAATGAACGTCAATGAAAAGACAGAAGGCAGGAGGCACAAATTTCAGGTCTCTGATCTGGTTCTGCAACAAAGCCCAGTCCCACCCTGTAGAAAGCTCGTCTGCTGTTTAAGGTTGTGTTGTTTCACTGATGCGCTATTTTCCACGTAAATCTCAGATCATTCTGTTCCTGGGCCTCACATCCACCAGCCCAGCAGCCTAGATAATGCAAATGGGGAACTTTGATGTAGTCCAAGACAGTTTTTGTGTATGTTCTCTAAAGCAGAATTTGAACTAAGCTGAAAGGTTAGCTCATCGGTACCCAACAGCATCACTTCTCCCTGTGCCGTTGTACCAAGCCCACTTGGACACAGATGAACGGCAGCGATTTGAACTGGAAAATGCAATGCATATTTTTCCATCTCACATTCCGTCCTGCAGAGCTGATCCTTCCCTCCCCTGGAAGCCCGTGTAGAATTGTTTTAACAACTGCTTCTTATCCTCATGGTGATTCCCGTGATTTTGATTGCTGTTCTCAGAGAGCTTCCAGTTTTCCGCATCACTCAGTGAAAAGTGAGCTAGTCAACAGCTGGTGTAGGAAAGCGTTTGCTACAGCAGATCACACCGATGGTCCATTGGAGCTGTTGTCGTATCTGTGCATTTGCTAGGGCTGAGACGGTGGCTCTTAACAGCCTTTTTTATTTTCCCTCTGTCACTGGCTCATACAAGACGGCAGTATGTGTGCAGGAGACACGACCTG